TGATGGCTGCATAATATTCCATTGTGTATATACACCACATCTTCTTCATCCATTCGTCTGTCGATGGACATCTTGGCTCTTTCCACAGTTTGGCTATTGTGGACATTGCTGCTATAAACATCGGGGTGCACGTACCCCTTTGGATCCCTACATTTGTATCTTTGTGGTAAATACCCAGTAGTGCAATTGCCGGATCGTAGGGTAGCTCTATTTTCAACTGTTTGAGGAACCTCCATACTGTTTTCCGGAGGGGTTGCACCAGCTTCCATTCCCACCAACAGTGTAGGAGGGTTCCCCTTTCTCCACATTGGGGGCAGATTCGATTTGGGGGCTTCGGTCTCAAATACTTCACTCAGCTGTTTCACCAGTGGGCTTGGGGGTTCTCTGCTGCTGGTCTTCATAGGTGTCCGTGCAATGCCAAGGGTAGGTGAGCAGGGATCTGAGTCTTGGGCCTGATTGGGACCCTCCAGCTGCTCCCCTGCTGGCAGGTTTGGCTGTGAAGAGCTCTCCACCGGGATGGGAGTGCGCAGGATGCCGGCACTAGGTGAACGGGGGTCTGCCACTCGGGCCAGAAGCTTGTTGTGCGGTGGAGGCCGCGCCGGAGTGACTGGGGCGCTCTTGGCTGAGCCCATCTCAACCGGGAAGAATAAGGTGGGGCAGGGCCCGGCCTGGGGCAAGGAGGGGACGCCAGGCCCCGATTCGTCTTTTGGGCGCACAGCGGCCCAGTCTGAGATCTTTTTTTTAAAGGACTTTGCACTCTCCCCTTAGCCCCCCTGCCAAGCTCCACCCCATGAATTAGTCTCAAATCTTTAAAGGCAAAGATTGAGTGTTGTTTGCTTTTTCTCTGTCTCCAGAATGGCTTACTGTAATAGGCATACAGTAGGTGCTTAAAAGACTGGATCCCTGGAATCGGGGGATCTAACAGCAGATTCCACGGAGTGATCTGAGGCCTTTGCACAACACAAGTAGTGGTTTGTAATTTAATCAAAGTAGGAATTTAAATCTTATGTGCATATAGGTGAGCATCACTCAGCTGCTGAGTGAGCCTAGCGACCACCTAGCACTCATTTCATTACCTCTGTTTCCTGCTCAGGGAATCTGGTTAGTGGGTGAAAACTTCCTTTGTGAAAAATTACTCCAAGAAGAAAGAAAAAAAGCTAGCCTTGGGAACTGGTGAGATGGGTGTATCAGCATTTGCTGTGTAACAAGCTGCCCCTAAACGTAGTGGCTTAAAACAACACCAATTTTATTTAGCTCTTGATCCTGTGGGTTGGCTGGGATGGCTGGGTGGCTGCAGTAGTTTTTCTGGTTTGTTTTAGCTCACCTGGGGCTGCATGGTCTAGGTTGGCCTCACTCATATGTCTGGTGGCTGATGGGCTGTTTGATGCAAGAGATCTCAGCTAGGTGTTCATCACTGCCCCACGTGGTCTCTCATTTCCGGGCAGGCCTGCTTGGGATTCTTTACATGGTGATCTCAGGATTCCAAAGAGCAGCACGATATGGCAAGCACTTTTAAAAATCTCTGCTTGCATCATATTTACTAAGGTCCTATTGGCCAAAGCAAATCACACGGCTAAGTCTAGATTCAAGAGAGGGTGGGGAGAGATAGACTCCATCTCTTGGTGGGAAGGCAGCAAAGATTTTGTGACCACAAGGTATGAGCAAATAAAAGAGGTGCAAACGTGATTGCTCCAGTCACATTGGCCTTCTTGCAATTCCTCTAAGCATATTAAGCTGTTTCCTGCCTCAGGGCCTTTGCACCTGCTGTTCCCTTGCCTCTGAATGCTCTTCCCACAGTTCTTGAAAAGGTTGATTAATTCTCATTTTTTCAGTTGAATGTCAGCTTCTCAGGGAGTCCTCCCTGACCTCTCTCGCTAAATAGGCTTCTCTTATTAGTATCACTCAAAGCATCTTGTCCCTTTCTCACGAGAAGTACATATTCCGTAATGACTTATTTATTGCCTATCTCCCCCACCCCAACTTATCATCAATTCCATAAGGTTAGAGACTTTGTCTAGCTTAGTTTCCACAGTGCCTTGTGCATAGTGGGTGCTCAGTAAATATCTGCTGAGTGAAAGTAATGATTTGTAACAAGAAAAATAGCTTTATAAATAATGTTGTTATTATATTTATGGAATCATTATGGATATAAAGGAGAGCAATGAAATTTGGTTATTTTCAACTGCTTTTTCTGGAAGAAATAAGCTATAGTGTAATGGAGACAGGTTGGGAGGTGGAGGACCTATATGGTTAGAGGGTCAACAGGGACATTTGGGATTGATAATAGTATTTGCCACGAAGTTGGGGTGCACTGAGTAATTATTCCTTTCTCTCTGCCAGCCCATGCTTGGTTGGGTGATCAGCCAGTGGAGAGTGGGGCAAGGGAAAATGAGGGAGGACTTGAGGGGGAGTGTTGAGACCTCAGACGTTAAGAGCATATGGCCTGGAGATGGAGTCTTAGCTCTGCCACTTTCTAGCTGTGTGTCCTTGGGCTGTGACCTAACCTCTCTCAGCCTCCTTCCCTCATCCATAAGGCAGGTGTATTAACAAACCTCCTAAGGCCAGGATGAAGCTTAGAGAGACAGTGCAAGTGATGTGGGCGTGGAGTACCGGCTTGGTTACTCTCAGGAGTATGCCTGCCCTGGTTTTGCAGCGCCAGGAGATGAAACATTCTCCAGGAAGGAGAGAGGTACCTCCCGCATCATGGATGGGCTTCTACATCCCAAAGCTAAGGCATGTTTGGCACTGTGGAGTTGGAGCAATTTGTTTGCTTTGTCTCTGCTCAACGGATGTCCTAGAGAGAATGGAGGGAACAAGAGACCCCAGCTTTTGTTCCCTTCTCCACCTTGCTCCGTGCTGGCAACCATTCAACAGAAGATCATTCCTCGGAAAGTTTCCCAGCCCTCCAGAAGCACATGTGGCCTTGATCTCCATGCAGCAGCCTTGGGAAAACATCCCAGAGACAGAGCTCTGGAATCAAAATTAAGTAAGTCTCCTCTCCCATCCTAGGTCTCAGAAATCCCAGGGGCAGGCGGGGCAAGGGATGGAGCCTCTTTCTGGAGCAGGGCTGTCCTGGGGGTGGGGGGAGGTGTTATGTGATAGAGCACTGGATTGTGAGCTTTTTGTTTCCCATGCAAATTTGGGGAATTATAGATAACACTGCATGAATATCTTTGTGCACCTATCTTTTGGTTTCTGAGGAATTGTTTTTCTTAGAATAAATTAGCAAGGGAGGATTTAATGCATCAAAGGAGGTGCTAGTTGTTACCTGTTGACCCATTAATTCTCTACCTTCCTTTGCCATGCTCTGCACCTTGGAAGGCTGACCCCTGCTGAATTGATTTCCTAGGCTCCCTTACTTTTTGCCTTATATTGGGCTTGGCCAATGGAAGGCTCCAGCAGGAGACTGGAGGCAGGAGGAGACAGAGGTTGGGGTATTTCTCCCCACTCCCTCCTTGCTTCTGCACTGTGTCTTGGATTATGGTTGTCCCTCCAGATTACAGGTCCCGTGATCCTTCCTCAAGCCTTCCTTCCTCTGAGCTTGCCTAGCTCTAGTTCCTCCTCTTCAGCACTGGGGGTGGGACAGCTCCCCACTGTTGCTAGTCTCTGGGTCCCTTAACCTCTCTTGTTGGTTCTCTTTATCCTCCTCACATCTCCATAAGCAGCCCGTTCATTAGAATCTTTTTATTTGAATGCTCTTGGGAAGAATTCTATTTTTTAAAAAAGATTTTATTTATTTGAGAGAGAGAGACAGAGGAAGAGTGCAAGCAGGGGGGAGGAGCAGTCAGGGAGAGAGAGGGAGGGGGAAAGAATCCCAAGCCGACTCTGAGCTAAGCTCGGAGCCTGACGCAGGGCTCCATTCCACGACCCCCGAGACCATGATCTGAGCTGAAACCGAGAGTCAGGCGCTCAACAAAGTCAGTCCCCCGGGCACCCTGGGAAGAATTCTATTTTTTTTTTAGACTTTTTTTTTTTTTTAAAGATTTCATCCATTTGAGAGAGAGAGAAACAGCACGAGAGGGGAGAGGATCAGAGGGAGAAGCAGGTTCCCTGCCGAGCCGGGAGCCCGATGCGGAACTCGATTCCGGGACTCCGGGATCATGACCCGAGCCGAAAGCGGTCGGCTCAACCAACTGAGCCACCCAGGCGCCCGGAAGAATTCTATTTTTAAGACCCAGACTAATAAATGGGTTTACTACATTGAATGATATAAACATTTCCATGATTGTGGTTACAGATGGATTTCCATAGACCTATACCAGTTGATCCTGCTGTAAATGAAGCTTGCTTGCAACATTTACCAGCAACATTGCAAGCGTGGGTGGTTATGATTTTTTTTAAATACTGCAAGAATTGTAAATGTCATCCCAACGTTTTAATCGCCCTTCCTTGATTAGTAAGACCGTACCAGTGGTTCTCAACTGGTGATAATTTGGGCCCCAGGAGACATTTGGCAGTATCTGGAGACATTTTTGCTTATCTCCAAGACAGGGAGGCTTGGTGCTACTGGAATCTAGTGGGTAGAGCCCAGGGATGCTGTTAAATATCCTACAATTCATAGTACAGCCTACCACAACAAAAAAAATGAGCTGGCCCAAAATGTGCCAAGATTGAGAAACCATGGGCTATGCATTGCCCACAGACCACGTGCCAGGTAATTTGTCTTTTCTTTGTTGGAATCATCTGTTTTCATCCTTTGGCCGGTGGCCTGGGGTTGGCAAATCCGGGCTCCAGGCCCAGCTCGGCCATTCACTTGTTTTGTGATCCTGGCTGACATTCCTCATCAGCTCTGAAAGGCCTCTCCTTGTCCTTTGCCTCCTTTGAGTTTTGGTGACAGTCAAATGGCAACAGGGAGGAATGGGTTTGGAAAATTATAAAATGCATTACAAATCAACCCAACCTATACTTTCTAAGCACCTACTATGTGCTGGGGGTTCAGACCAAGAATTCACAGATATATATGTAATCCAGGAGGGGTCACTGGACACATGGCCAAAGGCTGTTCTCCATGACAAGCATCCTCAGAATAGGCTAGGAAGGCCTCCTAAAGGAGGAGCAATTTATGCTTGGCCTTGGGGCTGTATAACATAGTGGTTAGATTTGCAAGAGTCAGACTTTCTGGGGACAAATCCTGGTACCACCCCCAGTAGCTATATTGCTTTGATCAAGTGATTTCATTTCTCTAAGCCTCAGTTTACTCATCTGTAGAATAGAAAATAAAATATTAGTTCCTGTTTCCTTTTTTTATTGCCATAAGGGAAACCACCCCCAAATTTAGTGAATGTGAACAACAATTTATTATTTTTCACAATGCTGTAGATTAGCCAGCTCAGCTGGGCACTTCTTCTGCCCAGGGTGGCATCTGCTGGGGTCACTCATGTGGCGTTTATATGGCAGCTGGATCAGGTAGGAAGGTCCAAGAAGGTTTCAGGTTACACGTCTGGTTGTGCTAGTGCCCCTTCATGTGACCTCTGGCTCATCATGGCTGGCTTGGGCTTCCTCACAACATGGTGGTCTCAGGGGGTCAGACTTCTTCTCACATGGAATCTGGCTTTGAAGAGGAAGAAGTAGAAAGCTCTCAGTCTTCTTAATACCCGGCTGGGCTCGAAAATCTCAGAACATCCTTTCCATT